AGAAACTGTTCAGTCAAGGGTATAAGGATGAGACGATTTTGGAAAAGTACTGTCTTTCTTAGTAGTGGGCTAGAAGGTTGCAAGAGAGAACATGTTAGCTACCCTCGAGCATTTGTAAAGGAAACATGTTCCGATGCTAAGGTAAATTGTAAGAACGATAAGGATAGATGTACCATAGATATGGATGTCAAAAAGTATATGAACAAGTATCTGGAGGAGGTTTTCTTGACAACAGGTGATACTGGGATCCTTAATGTCTAAATTCACCTTTCTTTAAGGTACGGTTTAGATACTAAGTAGTATGAGGGTCGTCAAGCCCCCATTTAAGAATCCATACAGAAACTATTATCTTTGAACAAGTGTAACTGTTTTTATATTTGTATAGATGGAGCAAAAATTGCATAAAAGTTTTAAGTTTTTCTCCTTATGCAAATAGATGAACATTGAACTGGATTTATGTCTTTTCATGGTTGGATATGAGTTCCTCTCACAATTTCACCCAATATGGAGTATTATGGCTGTTGTCAACTATTCTTTTCTAGAATTTGTTCAGCTATTAGAGGATTTTTACTGCGTATTCACTGATGTAATTAAGGATGACAAAACATTCTCCATGATCAAGAAGGAGAGTGTTCCTTTGGCAGCGAACCGAAATCCCAGAAGCGAATCCATTTTAAGAGATTGTGGGGGACCTCGTGATGAAAAGGGGCATGTGATTGAAGATTCTATGTTTAAGCTGTTCAATGATTCAGGAGGGAAAGTCAGAAAGAGGTCCTCTGAATGCATAACTGGTTAGTGTAAGCTTTTGATGCAGTCTCAAAGTTATGGTATACATTTGTTTTTGTACATTGAATTGTCAAATGCGGATTGCATAACAACTTATTCAACCATTACTTAATGTACGCAAAATTGCCTTCAAGCTTATCCCGGTTCTTCATGTTTATGTTAGGAAAATGCCTTCTGTTTTCATGTTTAATAATTAGTCGTCTAGCAAATATGTGTACATGAGTGTGATAGTAAATTTGCAGATTTACAAGGTGTAGCAACACAGAGGGTATACAGTTTGCTTCAGATTTTCTGATCTGCAGCTAAAATCTCCATAATGTTAATAAGGATGCACAACAATGCTCTTGAAAATTAGAAGGTAATAAAATGAGTAGAGGGCCTACGCAGACTTAGCCACTTAGGTTCTGTTTTCCTCAACTTTTTAAAAAACTTCAGTAAAATTAAGTTAATAAAAATTCCCTATAAAAAAGGTAAAAGCTTAGCATATATAAGAAAAGTTTAGCAAATAATTAGTCTAATAAGCTTCCTCTGTGGTAGCCTGTAGGATCTTCCGCCACTTACCATTCACCAATCTCTCTGCCATTTCCAAATTCTTCTTGAAAAGGTTGTAGGCTTTCACTTTCACGCAGTTGTTGATGTGCCATGTGCACAATAAGTGGTTCGATTCGGGAAACAGCTCTGCTATGGGGGCAAAGAGACCTCCCTCACAGTCGCTGACGATGGCTGCTGGATGAACATTAGGCCCGATGTAGTTTCTCAGCTTCTCCAACACCCAATAATAACTTGGAGCCGTCTCATCCCTGATGATTGCATGACCAATCAGAAAGTTCTGGTTCGTTGGAGCCATCCCAACCATCTCAACCAGTGGGAACTTGTACTTGTTTGTCTTGTACGTTGAGTCGATCAAAATCACAAATGGCCAAGACTTGATCATATCAGCACAATCAGGATGCACAAGGAAAAGATGAGTCACCTCCGTTGTATCTTCATCAGAATCAAACCAGAACAGGTAACCACGTGATTGTGCCTGGTGTAGCAGCTGCTGTATAGGGTTCCTTCCCTCTGACCGTTCAAACCTAAGTTGCTGTCTGACGTTGTAGATGTGTCTTCGGTTTGGATGGTCTTCTGGAAATTTCTCTAACACAGATGCTAATATTTTAGCAGGCTTCACTTGAGCATCACTCATTTCTTTCACAACTAGTTTCGCAGCAGGACTTAAGCCGCTTAGTTGTCGATGACCCTCTTCATATACTATCATCTCATGGTTGTGATACCCCCATTTAGAGTAACCAATCACTTCCCAACCGTCACGACTCCGTAGTTGTCGAACCTTTACTCTGAACTCACACCCACAACCTTTCCGCTTTGTATCAAACCGAGTGGCTGTACGAAAATCTCTTTCTTCTCTTTTGCGATAACGGTCACATCTCAAAATGCGATCCATTCTACCATCCCGTTGAGATTTATGAGTTACTACTACCAAGCAAAATCCAGCTGCAATTGCAACCTCTTTTGCCCAATCAATCGCCTGTTGAGCTTCTTCAAATGGACCATCATGTCCAAATATCCCACTGTAATCATTTCCGTCTCCACCATATTCCTGCATCAATTATATATTACAATAAATACATTTAACGGATAATACATTTAATTTCTATATTTACACAGAATTAACACAAAAAAAAACATAATTATATATAATCAAACTTAATTTTTATAAAAACCCAATTCGAATTTTCAAACTAAATTTAAAAATATACCATTTCGAATTTTCAAATTTAATTTTTAAAAAAAACCTATTTCGAATTTTCAAATTTAATTTAAAAAAAACCCATTTCGAATTTTTTTAAAAAATCATTTTCGATTTTTTTTTTACAAAAAAATTAAATAAAAAACAACAACAAAATCAAAAAAGAAAAAAAAATTAATTATTAAAGGTGGCGTCTGCCAGGGCTGCCACAGCCACTGGACTGGCGCCTGGCAGGGCCGCCTCACCCAGTGGAGTGGCGTCTGCCCAGGACGCCAGTCTGGTGGTCTGGGCTGGACGCCACTCTGGTGGTTCTGGCGTCTGGCTTGGACGTCCAGGCTACGGTTTGGGCGTCCACCCTAGGCGCCGGAGCCACTCCGACGGTAAACCGTGAATTTTAACGGTGACTTACCTCGTTTTCCGTCGACGACGACGTACCTCCGGCGTCCCCCGCATCTCCGGCCTGCCCTCCGGTCTCCCCCGGCGAGCCAGTACGGCTCCACATTTTTTACACCGAGATTATTTCAATTTTAGAAAAAGGGCATAATGGTCAAACCATATCATATTTGTGGGCTTTATATGGTAAATTGCGGGCGATGTTTAGCGTTTCACTTATTATTTCCGTTGTTTTTTTTGTTTATTCAATTACACCTAATTGCCCAAAGGAAGGAACCCTCTCCGGCACTTGGGCAGTTTGGAGACTTTGGACACCATCGAATAACTTCACCATCTTGTCGCACACACACGGACAGGAGTAACATCATCTTCTAAGGTACTCTTCTCTCTTTTGCTTTCATCAATTTTTTTGTGTGCCAATCTTTTACAACTCATGTGTTTATACTTATATATGAATTCCTATTTTCCGACATATGCCTTTTGTTATTTGATCATGAATTCATTAGATTTTTGTTCGGAATTCGTAATATTTTCGACCTTTTTAAATTTTAATCGTCAAGTTATAATTTTTGTTCAAAATCCTACTTGGGTTTTCCTTAACATGTAATTTGATTGTCATATTTGTATTTTCTGGGTATTATATAATGTTTTTGGGTATTTTTTGCTCTCACTATTTTTGTTTGTCTTCAATTGCTGCTATTTAATTTTAATTTCGTCATTTCATTTTTCTGTTAGGTTTTATAATCGGTTTGAAAAACAATTGTGATAGTTTTAATTGGATTTAGTTTGTTTCTTGGTGAATTTGATGAAGACCTTTTAACCCAAATAATTAATTATACACATTGATATTGATTTTTATTCGATTTAAACACTGATGTTTATTTTCGGTTCTTGTGTGTTTGAGTCAAGGTCATTGGCGGAGCCACATTAGAACAAGGGGGGACAGTTGTCCCCCCATTTTCGAAAAAAAAGTTTTTTTTTTTAAAAAAAAAAATCAAGAAAATACAGTAAAAGGCTATAAATATCATATACTTACAGTAAATATCACAATATTGAATATGGTTTGGTGGTTGAGTCCTTAGTAAGGCTGTGCCTTGGTCTTAGGTTCGATTCCCCACTCTACTATTTTTCAGCTTTTTTGTTTTTTTTTCCCCTACTTGTTTTTTGATTACTCTAATTTTCAATAGTCTTTTTAATTTTATTTTTCATTTCCTATTTCTTGTTTTAGGATTTTTAATTTTATTATGTGCTTAAACTCTATTTTTTTACATTTCTAATAAATAGATTACTATTAATTAATTGTTTGTAACTGTGTTTTAACTTTTATTAATACATACGAAATACATATGTAATAATATGATTGATTTGAGAAAGTTGAGTTTATTTTTTCGAATGTAACTCAAACCCAGACCCTTCATATCTACCATCAATTTGTTCTAACGATAATTATTTGACTTTATGATAAGGTAATTAATTCGTATATATCAATTATGTGATTACATAACGGGATTTACAAACATAAATTTATTCATTTTTGTTGGATAATTTTCTTAATATACAATAAAACTTTTTTATTCCTCTTTTGCCATATAGAAATAATTGGCATATGTGATTTCAAATAAATATTAAACAATTTAGGTGATCAATTTTTTTCTTGAATTTTTGCCGAAACTTTAACTCCAAAATTTGTCCCCCGAATTATAAATCCTGGCTCCGCCACTGGTCAAGGTATTAAATGAAAGTTGGATATTTGCTGATTAAGAATGATGCTTGACTCAATGACTCCTCTAAAAATAGGAAATATCATTAATTTTATAGGGCTATTCATTCATTCTGTTTTGTAGGATTAAACAAGTAACTCATATCCTTGTCTATCTCTCCGTGATTTGTTTACGAATTTTAAACAACCAATGTGTTTCTTGAGGTTTCAATTCATTAACCATCCAGTGTGTCGAACTTGAGCTTCAAAACTTGAATCTACAGTCAAATCTGTTGATAAGAATTTACGCGATCCATAGAACAGGTGGGTACCCACTCATTTTCCAGTTAACTTGTTTCTGCAGTTTTGCTCATGCAGGTACAACAAAGAAATATGTTTACTCTCATGCTCTGTCTTGTGTCATAGGCTTTGATTTTATTTTTAGAAGATAATTCATGTAGTGATTGGATTGTTAATTGTTACTATAAAATTGACACAACAATATGAATGTTGAAGCTAACACATAGCTTTTCTGATTTTGGATTACCATCATCAGAATAATATCAACTTCGGTGTATGGTAGAGTGGGAAATATAGGTGTTCAATATTTGATAATAGAGACTGATAAACAAAAATGCCTTCCCAAATCCCAAGTGGATGTAACCTCAAGTTTCGCCAACATCTCAATTGATTCTAGATGTGGCATATGATCGATTATTGAGATGATAATGACATACCCACAACTATAATAATGTGTTTAATAGAGTACATCGGTAGAATTTTGAATTTGGACATACTAAAACATATTAATATGTTTTAATACGTGTAAAACGAGAGTTTGTTGCAGAAGCTTTGCTTGGCTGGAATGAGATCAGTGTTGTTGCTCTGAAACTAATTTAGAGGCAGTATTAGGCATATTTTTCCATTTGATATGGTTTTAATAATTTGGAGGAATTAATCTTGGAAGGATTTTAACTATAGCATCTTCAGATTCTGAGATTTACATTAGGCCAAATAATATATTGTCCTCAGTATATACTACGTATTAAGCTTTTGGATTTATCTTGTATCGTTCTTTGTATTTGATTGTATATAATGGATATTGTTGAAGAGATCAAAATGGCCTATTGACTAAGAAGATTCTGCAGTCTTTAGTTTGCATATAATGTTTCAGAACTTTGCGTGAGAACTTTTATAGTCTTTGTGCTTTTCTAGATTTTTTACCCCTGATAATTATCTTCTGCATATATTTTGATTGATTGCAATATTCCTTGCTACTTCCTTCCTACCCCTCTTCCCATTTCTATAATTCAGTTCTCTCTTTGGGACTAATCATCATTAAGACCACTAAAGCAAGATGACATGAATGCTATGATGAGTAACAAGTGAAGCTGCTGAAATTTTCTTACTTATCTTAAACACTATTTAAGCGAATAACAGATGCACATATTTCTGTATTGATTGAGTGTTTATTGTTTGTTAGCTGATGTTGCATCTTACATGTTCCTGAAAATGGCTTGAATTTTGCTAATGTTGTGGAACAGCTGCTGTTTTGACTTCTTCGTATATCTTTCTCAATAAATCTGTCTTCTTTCCTAACTTGTTAGGTTGTTAAAAAGCATCACCTGCTTTCATATAATGACAGAAGCCGTAATCTCTGACATTAGCTCCAAAGTATTTTTGATGAGGAAACTAAGCTAATTTATCGATGTAAGAAATGCCGTCAAATTGTTGCTTCACAAAAGAGTATAGTTTCACATGAGCAAGGTAAGGGAGAGGAAAGCTTTGGATGGAGAAAGAAGAAGGGTGAGTCCAATTCGTTGCCTGAATGCTCTGCCATATTTGTCGAGCCTTTGAAGTGGATGCAAACAGGTAAGATAGTAAGAGTATTGGCTTAAGTTTTGTCTTTATTATTATTATTATTTTCAATACAGTAATCATGAATCCAACTTTTGAAGATGCTAAATTTGGTAATTTACTTTTACACCAGTTCAAGAAGGATATGTTTGGGAGAAGCTCTATTGCATGGGGTGCAAGTCTCGATTAGGTTCTTTCAACTGGACTGGCATGCAATGTAGCTGTGGTGCTTGGGTTAATCCTGCTTTTCAGATTCAGAAAAGCCGAATTGATGAATGCCGAATATGAGTTGTGTTCATAAGCTATGTAGTTGATTCTTTGATTTAGTTGAACATAATTGCTTTGAAGCATGTTTGATGTGCCTATTGGATATGCTTCGTATATATGTGTAGGCTTTCAGTGATGCGCTCTGCTGATATGATGTAAATGCTACCACCAATGTTTCTCGTATATTTATTATTCTTATTGTACTTAATACTTCATAAGATTCAAATTCTGCGACTCTACTTCCTATTAGTCGTGCTCATTTTCTACTTGATGACTACGACAACATATTGAGATGGTGCCTATGGTAACTCCAAATGGAAACCATTTGTGTCATGACTTTTAGGAGTCTTTTGTCAAAAAAAAAAAAAAAAAAAAAGGGGTCTTTTTGCCAAGAAACAAGAAAGTATGCGAAAGGACGTTGAGCGTGCTTTTGGGGTATTACAGGCTCTCTTTGCAATAATAAGAAATTCCGCTTTTGCTCGTGATGCATCAATGTTGGAAAAAATTATGATATCTTGCATTATTATGGACAACATGATCGTTGAGGATGAACGAGATACATATACAACATATTATGATCCGACTGAATATGATCAAGCATCACCTCCATCTTCAAGCAGCAGAAATAATAATGAACCCTTTCAATATTAAAATAGTAAAAATCGAATTGCAAGTTTGGATAATTACATGTCTAATAGAGCTCGTGATCGTGATGAAGATATGCATAGAGCCCTAAAATCGGATTTAGTGGAACATTTGTGGCTCAAGTTTGGGGGTAATAATAGGCATAATAATCGACAGTAATGTATTATTCCAATTTTAGCTATCTTTATTTAAATATCATGCTAAATTTTTTTTAAAGAAATGTTCTATGTATTGGTGTATTTTTAAGATTTATTATCGTATTGTCAAATAATATGTTATCGTATCATCTTATCATTTTTTTTACTTAGTTAACGATTATTAGATCACAATTTACATTAATAATGAATAATTATTAACTATGTTTAATTAATGTTGATTAAATAATGTAATAATTTATTATTAATTATTTAATTCATATAGTTATGGTGGGGTAGAGTAAAAGTAAGAAAGAGGAAATCTGGACTTCTCAAAAAAAAAAAAAAAAAAAAAAGTAAGAAAGAGGAAATCAATAACCACAAAATTAGAGGGCAACCGATGGGGAGGGCATGGGCATAAGTGGGTATGGGAGCTGGGCATTAATGAGGTGGAAGAGAGAGAAATTAATTAAAAATGTGATGACCACCATTGCCTTGGGCAATGGATGGCTATGCTGAGGGTAATCAACTCTGCTCTATATTTGTTAGCTTATTCGATGATAGATGATTTTCTGACCGCCATTGTAATGAATAAGATTGGATTCTTTAGTACTCAGCGTTTGCGGCTCAACTGTAGCTTCAAATTTGATGGGTATAAACTGTAATAGTGCAAATTTTCAATCTTAATGTAATCTTCTTTTATTTTTTCATTTTCTTTGATAAGTTACTAAAAAATTGTACTCCTAATCGTAAGTGTAAAATGGGCCTTTATTTCTTGAGAGTTGAGATTCATGAAGTTGAGGATTTGGGTTTTATTTTGTGTTGTTCTGTTTAAAAAATAAATAAATAAATAAAAATTAAGGTTAATTAGGCCTCTTTTACTTCACTTTATTTTTTTTGAATTGTAATTATTTTTAATGAAACAAAATTATATTAGTTGAACTTAAATTATTTTTACTGAACTTAAATTAATTTTACCGAATTTAAATTGATTTTACTGAACTGGAATTAATTTTGCTGAATTGACATTATTTTTACAGATTTTTTTATTATACTTCTTCTTTAAGATAACTGAATTTTACTGAAATGAAATTATTTTTACTAAAATGAATTTATTTTTATTGAACTTAACTGAACTTATTTTTACTGATCTAAATTTTTTTTTACTTAATATTATTTTTTTTTTAGGGTGAAGTGAATAGGGTCTTAGGTTTAATCAAGGTTAATTGGGTCTAATTAAGGAGCAATTCACTTCAGCTTAATTTCACTTCAATTCAGCTCCTAATTTCCTTCTCTCATAAAATATTCATTTCATCTCTATTCAGTTCAGTTTCAATCAGTTCAGTACATGTAAAAAGACCCTAAGTTTTTATCGGAGAGGTCTAATGAGGTTAATAAGTTAAGTTTAGAAAAGGTTAGGAGAATATAACACATGATTAATTGGGCATTTATTTGTATAATTATGTTATTAACCTTTCCAAATGTTAAAGGATTGTGATAATAAATATGAGGAAAATTTGAAAAATATCACCAATTATTGTTCACATTTTAGTAATTGTCACCTCATGTTTTTTAATTTTTATATTACCACCGACTTAAAAACATAAAAACTCCAACCTCTTTTCCCAAATTCCACTAAATGACATTACTGTGGACCCCATTATCAATTGTACCTCTCTTTTCCCTCGATTCTCGCCTTTGTCTAAACAAATATTTCCTAAAAATATATTGTTTCCTTTGAAATCGAAAAATAAAATACTTCCTCCGTTTCATAATGTTAGTATCATATTCTATTTTGGGCGTTTCAAAAAGATCTACCCATATTAAATATATTTCATTTAAACTTAATTTTTTTTGTAATTAATTGATTGTGTATTGATGACTTGACTCTAGGTAAGGAAACTTTTACCTTAAATTATGCAATTATGACTTGTATTTTCCTGATGAAAAATAAAAAAAAGTTAAATAAGGTAAACTAATTATGAAATATGTTGTACTTTAATGTTAGATTCCAAATATATTTTGTTTTTTTTTTATTTTTATTTTATGTGATTGATTCCATATGGGACTAACATTATGAAACGGAAGGAGTAATATAAAGATAAAAAAACTACAAAATAAAGTAGTACTCGTATAATATTAATCATAGTAACAAGCTAAGAATAGCAATAATACTAATCATCCCCCTTTTATGTAACCATTAAAAAGGAAATTTATTTATTCTAACATTCTATGTTAACGTAACATGTCTAACTTAACTAGGGGGTGGTATAGGGGGTAACGTTTGTAGCGAAGTACATATGCCGGTAGCTTCAGTAATTAGTTTGCAAAAATAACCTTGACAACAAAAATTTCTCATATCTCCGCATATTTGGCCAGCACCTATGCACTGAAGGCCAACATCACCATTCGGAGTTAGCGCTTGGAAGAGGTTGTTTGAGGGTAAGGGGCTAATGGGATATTGTCGGACAGCCGAGGCGAGTTGAGTTTTAATTACAACCACCAAAATTACCATCAACATTAGAAAACCAACAACCTTCTTCATCTTCATATTTCACTTGTACTCTTATTATATAGCTTGCTAATATTTTCTTGATTTCTTATTATTCTTTTTGATTAGAAATGTTTGTGTTGGATTGTTAAAGGGGACACCCTTTTATACTAAAAGATGTGAAAATCACTTTTTATTTTCTACTATAAAAGGCATATTAAATTAACTTTTACTCCGTATTTGTTTGAATTAAAGAAGGAAGTATATCAAAATTATGATTCTTTCTTTTCTAGTATTGATTCTTTATTAATTGAGATATGGGTCAATGATTTATGTGCTGTATGTCATGCCTTCACAAAAACAAAAACAAAAAAAAAAAAAAAAAAAAAAAAAAAAAAGCCTTTAAGGAAAAAAAAAGTTTATGTGTATGTCATATAGATTAACGAAAATATGGGAAACTTAATATGTCTGTTCATTATATGATATATATTTGTTATGTTGTAGGCACCAACCAAAAATGTCTTATAGTTGTTTATGGTGTTATTGCTTTAATATTGGCTTGATTGTAAAAACGAGCTGAAGAATTGTTTAGAGCTCATTCACATTTACTGAAATGAGCTGAAATTTAACTGATTGGAGCTGAACTGAACTGATTGGAGCTGAACTAAACTGAAATGAATATTTTATGAGAGAGGAAAATTAAAAGTTGAACTGACTGGAGCTAAACTAAACTGAATTGATCGATTGGAGCTGAATTGAACTGAACTGATTGGAGCTGAAGTAAACTGAAATTAAGTAAATGTGAACAGACCCTTAGTCCCAAGCCATTTTATTGGACTCCTTTGTGTTGTCTCTCGAAAGTTTGACCTACTTTATTTTTTATAAATAAAGCTGATAATTAAAAAAAAAATCAAAAATTTGAACAAAGTTAGGATTTATTAGAAAATTAGCTAAAGTGAAACGAAATTATAAAAAATATATAGTTCCTCCGTTTATTTAATTTACTATTTCTCTTTTTGAAAAGTTGTATATTAATTGCACAATTTCCCTACATGGTATGTTTTTTTCCCCTACATGGTATGTTTTTTCACTTTTTGGTTGTGTTCACACAAAAAATTCTCTATTACCCTTGTTCATTCACATATGATAACAATCATTATTACCCACCACCTTTTCTCTCTCATTTTTTTTTGGGTTTTTCTACACAGTAACCTTGTTTTTTGCACTTTTCTACGCTGTAACCTAACATATATGAGTTTCTACGTTGTAACCTTAAAATTTGAAAAATGGGTGTACAGTAACCTACGTCAGCATGCATTTATGACGGACGTTGGTGGTTGGCATTTATTCCGTCACCTAACTAATACTGTACACTCTAATTTCTCTCTCCTTTCTTTTTCCCTCCTCTTCTCTTACGTCACTTCATTCCTCCCTGTTTCATTCATTGTTCATAAACCCTAAATAGAGAATTTCAGACAAAATTCAGAGAAATCGTACGGGGAAAATTGGGGTTATTGCTGCGACACATTCGTGGAGATTAATTGAGGAGGAGAAGCATCAATCGAGGTACGCATTTTTTCTTTTATTTTGATGAATTTGTGAAGGTATTGTGTTGAATATTTGATAAAGTTTCAGAATTTTTGTGGTTTTTTGCGTGTTTGTCGTTGTGGAATGGTAAATTGCGAGCTTAGTTGTGGGTAGATTCGTTTGTGGGTTCTTTTCAATTACGGGGGTATTTATTTGTATAATTTCGTGATTGTTTGTTTGTTTTGTTGTGGCTAATTTGTTGTTGGGTATGATATATGTAACTGCTATGAAGTTGCTTAAGTATTGATATGTCTTTGTTAAAAATGTTGCAGATGGATGAAGAGAGGATTTTGAAAATCCACTATGGTGCTAATTGTGTGCAATTAACAATTGATGATATAGATAAGTGCTTGCTAATTGATGTGTTTAATGATATGTGTGAGGAATTTGCTAATAGTGGGTTTGATTTGCCTGAGTATCCTGGGTTACACTATTGCCATAATCAGAAGGCTTTTAATTTAGTTGATGATGGTACATTGATGAAAATGTTTGGGAATAAAGACAAAGAGATAGATGTGTGGGTGCATTGCTTGAATGAGCCTAGTTTTATAATGAATTTGGCTAGGATAGTGAAACCCCAACAACTTATGCCTAAGCCACAAGCATCCACCTCTGCTTTGGTGCCAGATTCTGCCACTGGCCCATATTCTGCTAGTGGGCCAGTTGTTGATGTTGGGCCATCTTCTGCTTGTACAAAACCACCTAGCACTAGCCCATCTGTAGCAGGCCCATCTAAACCTTGTTCTTCTAAACCAGACAACTTAAAACCTGGCCCACCCAAACCTTTTGTACCTATTAGGAGGAGCCCAAGGTTGACCCATTATGTGTCACCCCCAAAGCTAAATCCATCATTCACTCAGCCTAGGAGGTTACCTCGGTTGTTAGAAGAGATATCCCCTGATTCACCCCCACATATCACTCTTGCTGATGATGAGTTTTTTCATAGAAATATCTCTGAATCCCAATTGTCATCTCCACCACCCAGAAGAAGTCCAAGGCTATTACAAGGTAACCCTAGCCCAAATCTTAGGCAAGCACCAGTGAGACCACCACAAATTGAGCAAAATACAGCCCCTTTTGAGCCTACAAAGAAAACTAGATCTTGCCAAAGCAGAGCTGTTCTCTTTCCTCATGGTTAAATTACCTAACACCACTGCAAGGGTTAAGGGTGTGTTTGTTCCAAATAGTCAATCATCCCAAACTACACTAGAAGGTGAGAGTAGTAGGGTACTTAGGCCATCAGCTGCAAGAGGGGTCCAGATTAATGATGATGAAAGC